TCCTGAGTGCTTTGAAAGTGGAGTCCACTGTGCAGCTGCAAACACAAGGTATGACTTAGTGGGATTTGGATGCCTTTTCCTTGCCTTAAGACTGGGGGTTTAGTAAATGTCAGTCTTCAAATATCTGTATCTTAACTTGATCTGGTTATAGAAGGACTCCTACACGTTAAACTTATGCAAAGAATCTTTCCATTGTGTTTTGTCTATAAGCATAGTGAAATGCAAAGCAAGTTTCCTTTGCAAGTATGGTCAATCACTGAAGGAGCAACAGCTTTTTGAAGGAACACAATGCTTGTCGGTAGTCTGAAGATGCACCTGGAGGAAGAGGCACATTGGTTAATCCTTGGTTTTGGATGTCCTAGGGCATCTGGAGATGGTTGTGTTTTGTCCTACATCACCTGACCCAGGAAAAAAAATCACTGATTCAAAACTAGTAAATCCAAGCTGAAGGGAGTGGCTAAATTGAAGGTATTGTTTCTTATGGATCAGTTTATCTCCTGAACAAAAAGGGACATCATGAGAATCTGAGTTAAGTTACTATGTAGTTAAGATGTTGCTGGTTCATGAACTTACATTGTGGAGCATGAAAGTAGTAACGCTTATGACTAACCCTATCTAAGGGTAGAGAGCCTGTTTTCTGCTGCTTGCAGCTTCCAGCCAGACCTTAAAATTTTGACATGGAATCCTGGTGCATGGTGTCTGCTGAAGGGTGATTTGGGCAGCAATCTGTCAGGTTTCTGCCTTGCTAGTGACACAAAGAACATGGAACACTTTGCTTCCACAGCATAGTGAGTTTTTGTGGGTTTGGGTTGTTTGTTTGTTTGTTTTTCCTATTTATTTTCTTATTTTTAAAACAGAGCATTGTAAATGATCAAACTTGTAAAGCTAAGTCTATTTAGCACATCTCTTCTGGCTTGCTTGGAAAGAAGAGTTTATATACTTCAAACTGTATAGTCCCTCTTAGGTACAACTGAGGATTTTCTAACCTTTTAATTCTTGAGTTTCTGGTGTATTTATAGAAAAAATACATGGATCATGTTGACAAAATTTGACAGTAGGAGCAACAAATTGAGCCCCAGTGTTGGCACCTCTTACGAAGATTTTAATGTGATGAATAATAATACAGAGTGCTTAAATCTCAAAAAGTGTAAAACTTAACACCTTTTGAGTTAACTTAGTGGTTCCGCTAGATATCTGTGGTGGGACCACTGGAAGTCATCACTTGCAGAGTTGACTTTTTGAAGATGAGATCTTTACTCATTACTACATGTTATCTACTGAAGCATGAATAAAACATGTCCAGGAAGTCTCAGCTTCTCCATTAGGCAGATACTACATAATCCATTGCCACGTAACCTATCTGATAAGTAAAACTGCTGTACCAAAGCAGCCCATATGTTGTAGATAGCAAGAGCTCCTATTTTCCAGCTGAGAGATTCAGCTGGTTTGTAATAGAGCAGGGCTTTGTGCTCATTTGCAATTCTTAAAGATGCTGGCTGCCTCATGTTCCTCAGAACGAGAACTTTTTCTGGGGGCTCCTTGTGACTGTGTGCTTTGTCTAGTTTAATAATTTAAAGGATTTTTTTTAAACTGTCTACGCCTTTTTATAACTTTCTATGCCTTGCTAGCTTTCCGCAAAAGGGAAGTAATGCTTATCTGAAAAGAGGGATCTAAAGCTAAATAGTTTTTACAAATACATGTCCATGAATTTTTTAATTCAGCATACAAAAACCTGCATTCATAAGTGTGTATTCTGGAGCAATTCCATTAATCCAGATGTGTGAGAGACTGAAAATAAACAGTAATAGTTGTAAAAAAACCCAAACAATATTTGTTTTTTTATACTTACGTTGAGTACTTTCTTCAGCTTCAGTAAGAACATTTTGTATCTCAGTTGTCACTGTGTCAGTTTTGCTAGTTTGTTTAGCTCCAGGGCTTGAGTTGGGATGTTAATGATAGTAGCAACAGAACAACTAAACAAACCCCCCAAACAAACAAAAGAGCAAACCGTCTGCCTGGATAGGGAGCGGTGTTGGTACCGAGGGCTCTAGGCTGGTGAAGTTCCATTGGTTTTGGCAGGCCCACTAACTTTGGCTGATATGTTGGGACATAAATAGAAGCAGTGGAAGGAAGAGCAGAGTTTGCATTTGCTGGAGGCCCTGGTGTTCACCAGGGTGGGTGGGTTTTGCAATAGGATGAACTTTGATCTTAGTAATGGCCTGTGACCATTTTATTGAGGATTATTATTATTGTATTTTCTTATGTACATCTCATTTTAGTTCCCCTCATTTACTTCCCTGTTCACCCAAACTACTGGATTTTTTCCTGTAACCACAATCTCTTCTGCTTTCCTTTTGAAATTCCTTCTTGCTCTGCTCTCCCCCAGTGTTCACATCCTTCCTCCACCTTCCTTTCATACCCATTTTCTTTTTTACTCATTTCCTATGAAATCTCTCCCTTCCGTTCTCTTCCAGCTATTTCCTTTTCCTACCTTCCTCTCCCATTTTTTTCCTTTTCTTGAGTGCTTTCCTCATATGTTGAATTTTACTTTCCTTGACTCCTTCCATAATTTTATTTCCCAAACGTCTTTTTTCTCCCTTCTCCTTGTTTTGCTTCCCTCATGTTCAAACTTTCAAGGTGTCATCTCTTCCTTCACCCTCCTGGTGCAGGTAATAGGCAGAGGAGGTATGACAGCTGCTTAGGATGTGGTCAAGAACCCGTAGGTCATGTGAATGGTAGGGATGAAGCACTCCAAATTATTCTAATCTGATCATGTTTGCACTTGCCTCCTGCTGAAGGCATGGCTTTCTTCAGAAGGGCCTCAGTTCTGGTACCAGTAGAAACTCCTGAAGCACTTGATGACTCTTGAGAAATCAGATAGTGCTGTTGTGTTTGACAAGAAGTGAATTTTTGAGATGACCTTTTTGTACTTCCTTTTCTTTAGAAGATCTTAATATAGCAAGAAGATAAGAAATAGGATGGCACTGTATTTCACTCTTCTACCCTCCACCCTCAAATGCTTTTTGGTATGAATTCTTGCTGCAGTCTCACGAATCTCCTATGTGATCCTGCTGTGCACATTTTTTTTTTTAAACCCTGCCTACTGCAATTTCTATATTGTGTGCTATTTGCTTTGCTGCCATGTGCGATGTCTGGTTTTTTTCAGTCTTAACACCTACTACTTGAGAAACAACTTTGTCAATTTTAGTGGTATGCAGCCCTGCAGTGTATTACTACTTGTGACTTTCAGCAGTGTGCTGTATAACATTTACCCTTCTTCCAAACTTTCAGTCTATCTCCTGCATCTGTTACTGAAAACCATTACTGACATTTCTGAATTGGAATGTGTGGCTCCAGGGAGAGTATTTTCTCTTTTACATTTAGCCAGCTAAATCATCAGCCCAACAAGCTATCAGCTCAACAAGCTCTTGTGGAGAGGCTCTCTTTGGTTTTCCTCCTCTCTTTCCTTTTCATCAGTTAGAAGTATTTTCTCACCTCTTTGTATGCTTTCAGCTTAATCTCACTCTTCATCGATGCTGTTGCACAACATTGATGGAATATTTAATTTGAGGAATTTTTAATTCATGTACTGTATGATAATTACATAGAATTATTTAAAATTGTACTAAATCTCTTACACCTCGTTATTCTTTATGATTGGGTGAAGCTAGCTGAGTGTCATCCAGACCCATCTTATTGCACATTGGACTTGAAACTGAATTTTTGAGCAATTAGCATTGCATTTCCTTTATTCATGCTAGCAGTAGCAAATTTTGATGTAAGTATTGGTCACATAGTAAAACCCTTTCTGGTAGCATTGGTAAATAATAGAAAAGCCTTTTGATGTTAAGACCTAAAAGTCAGAACTGGGATCTGATCCTGAAACTGTTTGTGAGTAATTCTTACTCACACTACTAGCAATACTGCCTTCAATTAAGACAGATGAATCCAAGCACAGAATGGTAATTGTTCTGGCACGGAAAAGCTGACAGTGTTTTTAGAGCTATTTTTATTGATTCATTTTAAAATCTCTCTTATTCCAGTCTGTCCCCCTTTCTTTTTTCTTGCTCAAAAATAATCTATCAACTGTTTCTGGCTGGTATCTGCAAAGTAGAAGTTGAGAAGTTGTGTTCCTTTGAAGTTGAATAGAAGGAAACACCATGTCCATGGCTTTACTGTCTGCATATAAAATAGAGTTAGTGATTAAAAATATTTATAATATCTAACTCTTTGATTTTCAGATCTGTTTATCTATGAAATACCCAAATAGCTTAAGTGCTATATTTAAGTCTTGAGTTTTGATGCTGAATGATATATCTGTAGAGCTACACAAAAATAAATTAAAGGAATATTTAGATAAAGACTACTTCATATTAGAAAGGACTCATTAGAGGATGATGACAGTGTTGAGCCTTTTCATGAAGCCTTTATGAAACAGCCTCTAGGTTAACAGGGAAACTAACTCTATTGTCTGAATATGGAAGTTTTTTTTCCCTGTAATTTTTGAATGACAGTTTTTTGTTTTGTTTTTTTTCCCTTGAGGAATAGAGGGAGAGGCAAAAAAATCTGAACAGAATGCTACTATCCTCATTTCTAAGGAAGAACAAATAATGAGTAACAACTTATAATGTAGTAACACAATCTAAAGGGCCAAGGGATAAATTCATGGAAACAGGTTCTTGTATATTGTTTTGGAGTCTAAACACTTTAGATTGAATTGTTTCACAACCAGCGTGCCTAATTATTGTGTCTGCCACATTCATCTATTTAAATCATTCCAAACTTTTGGATTCCTGCCTAGAATATTACTGCAGTACATGTTTCAACTGGTTTTTCCCTAGTCTCATGTAACTTCATGAAGAAGGATGATTTTTTTTTTTCCGAAGAAATACAAGTGAGCATTGGCTGTATGTTTATAATCTGATAAAAAGGGACGATAGGTTTCGTAATGTTGATTTGAATGAGTTGCACGTGAACTGATGCTGTATTTGTTTTGTCAGGTCAGTGACTTAAAAAGTGCCTTTGCCAAGTCACTTTTATGAGCGAGGACTGCTACGCCTGTGTTCTCAAAATCCTGTCTTTGCCAGCCAGACATTGCCTTCACCTTACACGTGGTGGAAGATACCTCAACTGTCTCCATTTGCCAATTAGTTGATGGGAAACTGAAAGCAGAAAAAGAAGAATTATTATTATTCCTGGGACATGAACAAATGACTGCATTGCTTTTCTCGTGCAATCAATACTGGCAAGCAACCGTCAGAGAACTGCTATTCTATCAAGGAGTGCCGTTGCATTGATGGACCTTGGCTTAAAACTGGTGCATCCGTGATTACAATCAACAAACCCACGTGTTTTACGGACAGAAATGCAACTGAGCATGCATTTGCCCAGCCAAAAGTCTACAAGTGGGACTTAATGATTGATGAGTGACTGCTTGCTGATAAACTTTCTCTGCTTATTCTGCTTTGTGTGTGTTGGACATCATTAATCGTTCCCTACTGTTTTGTTTTGCATTTTTTAAACTTTCTTTTCAATTGGAATTGAAGTTTTTTTTTTCTGATTTTTTTTTTCCCCTCTCTCCTTCATTTGTTTTGGAAATTTCTTCAGCATAATTCACTTGACAGCAACTTACAAGTTCAAAATCAACTTTCCATCATGGCTTTGAATGTTACTCCAGTAAGAGACACAAAATGGCTGACGTTAGAAGTGTGCAGGCAGTTTCAGAGGGGAACTTGTTCACGCTCTGATGAAGAATGCAAATTTGCACACCCCCCTAAAAGTTGCCAGGTTGAAAATGGAAGAGTTATTGCCTGCTTTGATTCCTTAAAGGTAAGGAAAAGAAACTGCATGTGTCGTAAAAATGCTGCTACATCGTACTGAAAGTAAAATGTGAAATGATGAGTTACAACTAAACCAGGTTAATCAGAAAGTGGCTTGTCCTTGGTAAGCTATATATTAAAACAAATGTTGTCTGTCATAATGTTTGTTTATTTAAGTTTTTAAGATTTCTTTCTAAGGATTTCTTTTTTCAAGTGTCACTGTGTTGTTTACAGAAATTGCATATGACTGTGGAATACAGGATTGCTTCCAGCTGGTAGGACTATTGTATTCTCCTGAGTACATTTTATGGATTATAATTGTTTCATGGCAAATGAAAATACACAGTGGCACAGTACTAGGCCATTCCCAGAGTCCTAATGAAACAAATCATATGTAAAGAGTGCAGATTCTTTCATTTAGATCAACAGAAATAAGAAAAGTCTATTACTTCAATTTTGACACAACTGATTGTTTACCTTTGGTTTTGGAGACTCAGATAAATTAGTAGCATTGGTAATTACATGTATGGGTAGTGCAGATAGGAGCATAAGTTTAGAATAGAGTGAAGGGATTCTCTACTTTGGAGGATATTTAGCAATTATGTTGTTAGGTCATCAGCTTCTTCTGATTTCCTAGTAACATCAGGCACACTTTGGAAAACTGTTTTAAAGATTCTGTGAAAATACTTCATGTACTGCATAAAAGAAGACTAATGACCCCATGGGATTTGAGGAGTACACAGTGTTTTTGATGACGATACATTTGTGTTCTTGTGTCAACAGAAAGAAAAAGCTTATTTGATATAAATAATTAAAGAGCAGAATTGAGCATTACAGATTTTATTTTGAAAGTTTTAGTTGTGGCTTTATCTTCTGGGCATGGGAGAATGTCTTGGCTTGCTTTTTAAATTTAGCTCTGAGGATCAAAATTTCAGTTAATAAGAACTCTTACTGTGAAAACATCACTGTGAAAGAGAAGAAAATTCAGGGTTGTTTATTTTCATTATAACTATTTTTTTTAACGCAGTGCAAGATACTGTGCTAGATATCTTCCTTCTGCTTTTTCTCATTTCTTCTCTTCTTTTGAAGATTTAGAAGAAAGTATCTCAGGGGAAATGTTTGTGAGGGGGTTACGTTCTGTCTGTCCTGTAAGCCAGAAGAGCACCTTTGCAGTCATGGCAGTATGTCATCAAGTGCTATTAATGACCTTAATCCATGGATTACTGCTGATAAACTGTAGCAGCTTCTTTGTAGATGTTCTCATATATTGGTTGTCTGCCAGTGGGATAATTTTTTTTTTTAAGCAGGCAGACTAGTGTCTGCAGCAAGTGGACAATACTCCACTTTTACAAAAAATAAGCAGGTCAGTAGAAGGTTTTTTTGTGTACTATTTTTATCTATTATAAAGACTCAGGGATGGGTTGGGAGGCTGGACACAGGTAGCAGGGCTCGATTATCCCTGGACTGGCAGGAAGATGGATCTGCTGCCACTACATCATCCTGGTTGAAGCAGTGATGCACCTGTCCTTGATGCCCAAGGACAGCACTGCTGTCCCTGGTAGCACTGACACTCACAGTGGAAGTGCCAGCTATTAAGCTTGGAGACTATTGTTCAGGGAGGGTTATTGCCTGCGAATAAAAACTGGAGTCATAGACTTAAGCTAATAATACCATGAAGAGAAATCCTGAGGGATCACAGTGGATAACTTACTGACAACCAGCATCATTACTGAGTACAGAGAAGTCCAAAACCATGTAAAAAATGTAGTTAAAGCAAGCAGCCATGTTTTGTCCTAGTGTGGGAGGACATCTACCCTGAGGGGCCAGCCCACTCTAGCCCAGCTCTGGTGGCTGAAGTGGTGCTGCTCTGTCCTGCTGCCCATCATCACCCTCTTCCCAGCTGGCAGAAGGGAGCATGGACCTGTGCCTTCTGTCTTGTGTCTTCTAGTTGGGTTTAATGGGTTAAATTGCTGGTAAAGATGGGATTATACCAAGAAGCCAAATTGTGGTTTGAAACAGCAGAGGTGGAGGTACAGGTTTCTTCCCACAAACCCTGCTGCCCGCATAGGGAGATCCGATAATGGGATGACAGAGCCTTCACCTGCAGCTCCTTGCTTCTAAGCATGAGTGGGAGCTGTTCGTTTTGGTGTGTTACCTGACCCTGCAGTACACAGGAAGCTGTCAGGGATCACTGAGAGTGCATGGCTCTGGGCTGTACTGACTGGTGCTCTCACAGCCATTATCTCAGTTATTTGGAAGGGTGTTTGTATGTACAGCAAGAATGTGCCTGGTTAGCTCAGTTTGTGTATTGCTGGTTGAGGGACTTAGGTCATTAGTCAAATAAACCTATTTGATGCGTAGCTTTTGGAAATACTGCTGTTAATCATATAGTTTCAGAGTAAGGCTTTGGCACTTAACAAGCGGGATACCTTTTCATGTAAATAAACAATCAGAATCGTCTAGAATTTTAGATAAAATCAGAATTTAATTTAAAAAAAAACAAGAGCTGTTTTTCTTGCTGAACATTGAACCACAATTATTTAGCATTTATTTACATAGCATCTAGAGCATTGGAGACTTAGCCTTTTAACTGTCTTGATTTGGTGTCCCTGCTGTAAAAATAAATTATAGCGAGTATGTTGAGTCTTTTTGAATAAACATCTACCCAGGGAAGACAGAAAATTTTTTAGTCTCTGATGGAGTTATTTTACATTTAGGTGGTGCCTGATAGTTAACAGCTGCTCCCTAAGAAGTCAGTCAAACACAAGATACAGCACTCTGAGACAGACTCTTCTTTACATGCTGATTGATCAAAAGAACTCCTGTTTTGGGTAGGGACATATGCTCCCCTGCATACCATCTTCTTTCCAGATTTCCAGAGCAGACAAGGGAGCATGGTATCATTATCTGCCAGCTGGATTAGGCTGCCAGAGCACCAGTATAAAGCTACAGGAGAGAGTCCAGTGAAGAGTCACTAAGATGGTGAAGAGGCTGAAGCATCCCTCCCATGACGAAAGGCTGATAGAACTGGGACTGTTCAGCCTGGGGAAAGCTCAGGGGGCTCCCATCAATGTATATAAATACCTGCAGGGAGGGTGCAAAGAGGCCAGAGCCAGGTTCTGTCTGGTGGTGCCCAGTGACAGGACAAGAGGCGATGGGCACAAACTGAAACAAAGGAGGCTCCCTCCGACCATCAGGGAACAATTTGTCACTGCGCATCAAGCACTGGCACAGGCTGCCCAGAGAGGTTGTAGGTTCTCCATCCTTGACCATACTCAAAAACTGTCTGGAATATGGTCCTTGGACAGTTTTCTCTAGGTGACCTGCTTGAGCAAGGGGATAGACCAGATGACATTCAGAGAACTATTTTAACTATCCTGTGACTGTGTGACCAGAAGCATCTTCACACTGACTTGCCCACAGCCTTAGGATTTTTCTAAGCTAGCAAAAGCTGGCTTCGAGACTGAAGGATATAATCCCAGCCAGGGACACCTGCCTCTATGCTGTGCCGTGTCCTCCTTTGTGCTCTCACTGCTGCCTTTGTGACTGTGTAGTGCCCCAGGTTGGGAACCTAAGTTGTTGCTGTAGTTGCTGCAGCAGGGAGAGGGACTGTGTGGCACAAGCAGAGCACTGAGTCACTTCTGCTGGTGACAGTACTGTGGCCCTAGGCTGGGCTTCTGGAGTAACACAATTGCATCAGAATCCAAGTTTTCCTATATTAAAGAAGTATATTTGTAGGTCCAGTGGTTCCAAGTAAAAGGTCAACAGAATTTAACAGACCTTGTTTGTTTTTAACTGAGACAGGATTTTTGGCTCCCAATACCTGTCCTTGCAATACTTGACTTTTAACACAGCAAAAGTTGCAACAGCAACCCGTTGGACTTATTACGGTTTTAAGCATCCAAAATGCCATTGAAGACTGTCTGGGCTCTGAATATCCTTCATCTGTGAGGTGCTCCAGGCTAGACAGAAATAGCTAAAGACTAATGAGCCTGGGTCAGATTCAGGCCAGAAACTTTCTGGTTTCAAGCCAGGTTCTGCTGCATAGGCTTCTGAGATGCAGCTCAGCGTTTGTTTCTCCCTCTTTGGTGAAAGACGGAGTCTAGTCTGTTCCGAGCAGGGCATTTTTGGGGTGAGTGCAGGTGGATCATCCCTGTGCACCCGGTGGATGATGGATGCAGCAGTCGGACAGATGCCTGCCTATTAGCTGGCCACAACATCGCCTCCAGCAACAGGGCTCTGTCCAGCAGAAACCCCACGTGACTTGGCCAGCCAGTGTGACCACACAGGCACACCCAAAACTGTACCAGGCAAGTGACCTTGCAGAGCTTAATGTGAGGATGAAAGTGTCTCCGGGCTAATCCGGTTGACTGTGCTTGAGGTGAATAAAGGGGAACTTTCATGGCAAGGCCCAGAGCTCTGATAGTGAATGGGAAGATACCGGGTGCTGAGGAAGCACTGCCAGAGCCAGAGCCTTGTCTGCTGACTTAAACCCTCCTGAAACCTTTTTGGAGTCCTTACAGGCTCCCCTTTTGATGCCTTTGAAAGGGTCGGTCAAGTGACCTGGGGTCGGTCAAGTGACCTGTCTAACAGGAAAGTTTTAATTTCAGAAACTGCTTCATTTATATTTTTATACTTCTGCCTGGGTTCAAGTAGCTTAATTTAAAAGTGAAGAACATGGATATATAACACTTAATGTATAACATTTAGATCCCTCCAAGTTGGACACTATAAGCAAACGTGTTTTCAAGGCTTTCTTGTCCTGCTAGTAGTAAAGAACAAAATCCTTTCACAGGAATACTAATATATAACGTAATGTGTGCAGACAAGACCATGCAACACTTTGCTGTATTTGAATCAGAATTTTAAAAAGAAAAAACATTAAAATTAATGGTGATGTTTAGGAGGGGAAAGGGGAAAAGCTTGACAGATAAGAACATATGGTCATGTGCATTTTGCTGGGAGTTAAGTCTTGTGCTCGTAGGTAAGTCTGGATTTTCAGTCCTGGTG